CAGATGCTGCCAGACCTGCTGAGCTTTTCCAGCAACTTTGTTTTTGTCCGTGGATGGGAGGTTGGTTTCCGTGATGGTTTGAGCTATGTACACAACTTTCTGCAGTTTCTTACAGTCCTGGCAGAGCAGTTGCTGTACCAGGCCGTTATGCACCCAGACAGAATGCTTTCAATGGTGCATCTATAAAAGGTGGTGAGGGTCCTTATGGATATGCTGAATTTCCTTAGCCTCCTGAGGAAGAAGAGACGTTGTTGTGCCTTCTTGACCATTGCATCTACGTGGGAAGTCCAGGACGGGTTGTCGGTTATCGTCATTCCCAAGACCTTGACACAATCCACCCTCTCAACCTCAGTTCCATTGATGTGGTTGGGGGTGTGTCCTGCTCCTTTCTTCCTGAAGCCAATGATCGGTTCTTTAGTTTTGCTAACATTGAAGGAGAGATAGGGATAAGGGGTTCTTTTTCAGTGTGATGGTTCCTAGAGAACTAAATTATAAAAGCTGCAGGAATCATTCTGCAGGAATTACTGTCCATCTGTTAATACTGATGAGCCATCTTTCAGCAACACCACCTTTGGGTTCCCAGTGGTTATCTGAATTGTCTACAATCTCCAAATCCGGTGGTAACACATAGAAAAGTGATGATTGAGATTTAGACCCAATTGCTAATCATTGATCTGGAAGATAGCACAAGCCTCCAACTCAAATGATAGACTGTGCCCCTGTACAGCCTACTCCTTCTGGTGTGTTTTATTTCAGTCAAGTTTTAGAGTACTGTAATGTTTGTTTCCTTTGATCATTCAAATAATTAGAAAGTAAATATTTTTTTCCATACGATGAGGTGGTGATGCAGGGCAATCACTTTTTGTATGCACATGTTGTCTGCAGTATGACCAAGGGACTAGCATCTGGCTATCGACTTTGCTTTGTCTCCCACCATCAGTGTGTGTACCTTTATTGGGCTATAGACAAGTGGAGCTCAGCATTGACTCCTACATCTTTCTAGTTTTAAAAGTTTTGGCTAGTTGGTAACAACATAATGCTCCTAACGATGAATGGCTTTGACTACTCCCTAAAGAAAAACTACCACATAGGGGTGAAAGGAGAGTGACCGAAAGAATTTTGAAATATTTTGAAGTGACTAATGACATTTTTTTTTACTGTAATGAAATACCAGAGAATGAAATTGCTCATGAGGAATCTGACAGTAAATCGGGACACTTGGTGGAAAATTTTCACCCTAAGAGTAACAAAGCTGTAGAACAATTTCTTAGGAAATATGTTTTTAATCAATCTCTTCAGACATGTTATAACAAACCTCTGGCAGGTGAAGGATTTGAATCCAGGACTCCTGGCTCAGAGTTAGGGATACTGATATTTCCAGACAATCTCCCATCCAAGTATTAAACAGACCTGCTTTATTACCAAGACAGATAAATCCAGATAAATCCAGGTGTTGTCAGACTAGTATACCTGCAGGCATTAGGCTATCAAATCAGGGAGTATGAGCAAATTGAATATTCAATTTGATGTACTTTGGAAGGAGAAGGCTTCGAAGGATTTGTTAAGAAGGTGGAGTATTAAATACAGAAGTGAATGAACTTAGTTCTTTATTTGTGCAAGACTCCTGCAGGAGCTTTGTACGTGAGAAGAAATTTCCTAGGAATGAATCACGTAATCATCTTCTCTGATAAGCAATCATACATACAAGGTTGGAGCCTGAAATAAAGAAACATTATCAAATGGTGGAATGGGAGGGACTTGGGCCTGTTCATGATACTATTTGGATGATAAGTAATGGCATAACAATTAGTGCCTGTAAAGTTTGTTTTTTCACCAGTGTGGAATATAAATGTGATCCAAGTTATAACATTTAAATTGAATTGAAAAATTAATCTATTTTATCACAT